ATTTTATATTTTAGATATGCATTATTTACAAATTTATAATGTACTCTTATATTTTTGAGTTTGGTAACAAGATTAATTCCTTAAATACACATTTATAATCCTGTTATTTCTCCATTTTTATTCACTCATTTTTTGTGAAGCAAATGAATTACCATACTCATCTGTATATATTGTTTGAAATTAATGGGTTTCATGAATTACTCTAAAGTACTTACCTTAAGCATTATATTATATTATCTAAGCTTAACTTTCTATTGTTCTTGCATGAGTCTGATTTCTTAGTACAACTGTTGATGTTTTTATATGTCTGTTATTTCCATTTATTGTTATTCAAACATCCGACAGCACTTGTAGTCTGTGACACTGTAAGCCCATCAAAAACAAAGTGTGCTAAAATAGTTACATTAAAGTTATTTTCTGGAGTTGTATTGATATTAACGTTTGATAAAAGCAATATAGCTACATAGAGTCAGAACTAAAAATATACTTAGTAATGAGCATAGCTAATTAAATGTATTCTGTTCAAACTATATTACTTAGATGTGATTTTAGGGGGAACTTCAACCACTACGTACATTTCACCACTCTCCTTAGCCACGGCTGATTCTAACCAGCATTTTGTGAAGCCTGAGCTAATTAACATGCACTTGGAATCCCATAGAGACCACTCTCAGCAAGTCTCGAAAACTGAAACTGCCACCATTTGTTTCAATATAAAAGAAGTAACCATTAAATATCTCATAACATTAGCCTGGGATTTCCCAATTTGGCTGTTAACTTTTTGGTCCCAATGATGAATTGAGAACATACACATAGCTATCACCACTGCTAGAAAAAGCTCTTGGCCTCTTCATGCTCATGGCTCCCTCTTATTTACCCTGAGTTCTGTCTGGTGTTAAAAATTTTCCTTCCATATTGATCATGTTTAACAAACTTTATGGCGACAGAGAGTTAAACAGCAATAAAAAAAAACAAAAAAAGCACGTTCAAAATAAACTCCTCAATAAACAAATCGTTTGATTATATTACCATAATATAACTTGATAACTGATTTGTGGCATTCAGGTAGTTACAAATATATGCAAAACACAGGTTCCAGAAATGTTAAGCAGAAAATAAAATGAACTTGGATAGCAAGGGAAAAACAAATAATACAAGTGAATGAATAGAACAATAGTTTATTAGTCCACTTTTAATTCATTAAGTGACTGCGACTGACTGATCGGGTGAACAGAAGACTTCTTAAAACATCCACATAAAAAGAAAGGATATTGAAATACCACCCTTTGAAATCATACCAGGATTATTGTATAGCATTCCCACAATTCTCACCTATGTGAATGATTATTACATGTAAACATATTCAAGTAGCAGATGTAGGAATAGTGTCAAGCAGGTACAAGCTTCTAAGGAATAGCTATTGTAGTATGTAATATTTATCTAAGGTAGATTAATTTATGTTTAAAATTTTTGTACATCAAGTTTACATGGAAGATTTTAACTACATCCAAAACACTTGAATGGATAAAGATATACTATACAGGCTATGGAAGGGTATAAACAACAATCCTTTCACTGGCAATAGTTTTGATTAGTTTATCCTCATAAATGAAGCATAAGTTAAACTTTCTGTAGGATGAGAGTGAAAATATTTAAAATTTCAGAAGGGCTAGTAGTCATGTTTTAATTTATATACCCACCCAAGTTTTTCTTTTCCTTTATGACCCTACTCCCAACTAGTCTGGGGTCAGCTGGTATTTTTGTAAGCCAGGAGTCTTTATTAACCAAGGTGGTTGATCCAGAAGGCAACCATATAGGAGGAGCATGTTTGGTGATTAGGATTCAAACTCGTGACCCTGAGATTGCAAGTCCAATGCCCTAAGCATAAGGCCATGCCAGGCCCCATTCTAATATGCAACTCTTAAAAAAAAATTTTAATTTAATGAAGAAACCAGGTGAATGTATAACAGGTTTGAGTAACTTTATGGAGACCATTGTTCAGATTAATGTTTTGTTGAATAAAGTCAATGCACTGTAATCTACATGTATACCATCAACAAATAAGCAACACCTATGCAGAGAATGACTACAAGTTCCCAGAGGGTGATGCAGAAAATTAATTTGGGCAGCTGTAATTGAGCACAAATGATGCCAGATTCCATATAGTGGAATTTTGTCGAGAATTTGAGCTGGGAGTTATAGGGGGGGGAACTCAAAGTGAAAAAAACTAACATATACTTTTAAATATTATGTTATGTTTTTGTGCATCTATTCAGATGGATTTGGGGTGAGACAAATTAACAAAAGACATGATACAGAGAAAAAAATCTAAGCAAAATTTTCGTTTATTTTTGTTTTTATTATTATTATTATGTTTTATTTTATTTTTTATTTATTTTTGTTATCTTCGGCCTAACCTTTACATGTGGGCCCAATATCGACCGAGTACCCCCTAGCCTAGAAATGTACGAGACTACTGTAAAATTATTGGAGTGTACCATCATCAATTGGTCCCAAAGAGCCTAAAGGAAGTAAAGTAAATCTCGATGAACTGAAAGGAGCTCCAATATTGATGTGGAGAGAGGACTCGTAAAGAGTCCATCTCTCCAAAACCTCCCAAGTGTTGAGATATACCCCAACCAGAAAAAGAAACACCCATAAAAAGGTGACCTTTTGGCTAAAGAGGGAGAAGAGGAACTCCCACAGTAGTGTTGTCCTCATCCAACCACAGGCAGAATTAGTCTGGAAGGAAGGGGGAAGGGTGAGAGGGGCATCTAAGGAATCCTCAACAAGGCTACATTGGTATAACAAAATCCACTGAAAATGATGAATGTGGGTGCAAAAAAGAGGAATGAGGGCTTCCAGAGAAATCCATGTCCCCAAAAGAGAGAACCTATCATGCAGTTGGAGAAGAGAGGTGGAGATGCTACATACGAGATGTTCCATAATACAAAACTGAAGGAGAGAAGGTTGGGCCCAACTGATGGAGTTTAAAAACAACCCAAGGTGAACCAAATTCATTTGTGGGTGTAAGAAAATACTTCTTTATCTTGACAAGCTAACATACCCTGGCAACTTCTTGGAGAAGAAATTGAGATGGTAGTGCAGATTGTTCATGTAAGGAAGCCCGAAGTAGCCTGCCAACCATATATTGGTGGAAACAAAAACCCTGGCATGAATTAGGTGGGTAACTGCCTGGACAATCCGATAGAAATTATAGGGTGCAGAGGCAAGTCCGAATGGAAGCGTCCAAAAGTGAAACACACACACCTGATGAGTAAAGAAAAGATACGAAGTAGATGCATGGGATATGGGTAGATGGATGTATGCATCTGACATCAACTTTCTTGATCCAGAAAGCAAGAGAAAAACTCTAAGGAAGAGCTAAAGATGACTCCATGGTGAATTTGGGAAGGACTAAGAAGTGGTTCAGAGATGATAAACTGATGACCAGGCACCAATCCCCTATCTTGTGGGGAACGATAAACAGACAAGAAGAAAACCCAGAAGAAGGACCACTTCAACTGATGGCACACTTACAAAGTAAGTCCCAAACCACCTCTGAAAAACATTGACATGAAAGGATCCCATGAAAAGAATTGGAGGACAAGACCTTCTGAGACAACTCTCAGAGAACAAGTATCCACAACAAAGGATCTCCAAATATGGTAAAATGAAGGAGGTTGGCTCCCATAGGCCTTGACCCAAGAACATAATCACTGAGGCTGAATGCCCCCAAAACAATGCCTGACAGGGTAATGGTGGAGAGTTTACGAAGCCAGAGCCAGCAAGGGAAACAACAAATTAGGGTCCAAACCCCACAAAAGGGATAAGAGACTCCAAATGCTGCGAGACTAAATAAGTGAAGTTAGAATGATGATAAGCAAAAGCAAAAATGTCCATAGTACATGGGGGGGGGGTTGAGGCATACTGATCCCCGAATGCATTTGCTGCCCCAACTGACTTGCATGAGCACCAATATTCAGGGAAGAAGGAAACAATAAATATCAACCCAATAGCTCATTCCTGAGAATGGCAAGGGTGAAGCCATAGAAAACAGCAGAAAATGGCAGAACATAAAATACCTGAGTAATCAACTCCACAAAAGGCAAAGAAGGCCTGGGAAATTCCTTCGAAAGGACACATGACTGTAAGGGACATTTAGGAGTAGGAAAAAGGCTGCCTCAATCCAATTCTCCCCAGTCAGTCAGACCTTGAACAGGTATGATAGGGCAATCCTCAGAGTGTTCTGATTGTAGCATGAAATTGACCAATTCCTGATGCACCAGAGCCATCACTGCATGTCCCAATAACCTCAATTCCGACCCCGTGATCAAGAAGTCCAATGCAGAAGCAACAGCAGTTGTAGTCGTGACCACCTGAAACTGTGACTACAAACCTCTCAGAAGTGAAGCAGAAGGGAAGAGAGAAAAAAAATAACAACATAATTCATAACTTTCGACCAGAATTAACATAACATTAAACAATAAAAGTAACTGATTTAGAAAAGAAGTTAAAAGGCCTGAAAAACAAGAAAAGAAAATCTTTTGCATAAGTCAATCAAACTATCACTGAAAAACATATATGTACAATAAGACTGTCAATTGGGAAGTGGTTAACAGTTGTAAGATTAGAGGGGACACTAATTACGATAGGGTAGTGTTGCAGGGCTGCTGCAAAATACTTTGCATGGTAGTATACAGATATCTCTCATTAACATATGTGAGGGTAAGTGGGAATATCAAGGCTAGTGGTGTGTGAAAATTTGTGCCAATAGAGATAAGAGATCGTACGAGAAATCACTTATTGCCTAAAGTAATTATCTTAAGTTTTGTTAAAAACAATTTTGATGTACACTGTACATGTAAACATGAAGAAAAATCCCCAAAAAACGTTATCATGGGTGAAAAAACATAAATTAGAAATTCAAAAAAGTTTTAATACAATACAGATATCAATAAATAGAAATTTAATCATTAATTGTATGAGGACAGTGTTACCTGTGTTCTTCAGATTCATCCTTTGAAAAGCACCATTTCAGAAAAGTTTTCAAAGCTCGATTAATACGCATATCATCTCCCATCCCATCACCATCAACCAGGAGCTTTCGTCGAATAATCTCCTCTATAATGCAGCATCAGGTTAGTTCATGTAAAGTATAAGACAAAGCTAGTTTAAAAATACACATCTTTAAAAAAATTATAGAATCATATAAAAGTTGACTATAAATTTGGCTTATGCTTTCTAAAAAAGCTGTAAAACATTTCCCTACCAGAGAATTTGACTTAGTATTCATAACTTTAGAAATTCCTAGCACTGAAAAGTTGAAATATAAAAATCTAACTAATTTCTTCATGATGGTACATTTCTTTAAATTTTTTCAATTGTTAACTAACTGTAAGGCTGTGCCAACTCTAGGAAGTACCAATTACAAGAAATCTAAGAATTCATAGTCATACATATATCTTCAGAGCTTGTTTGGTCCTTTTAAAAAATTATCACCAATGAATTTTTTGACAGAAAAACAACAAAATATATAAATAAAAGGATTCCCGAGTTTCAATTTAAAAAAATTATTCCACTAAAAACTGGAATAATTAAAAACAAATTATTCTTAAAATGAAGTTTTGCCAGTGTTCACCTGGCATTGCCTGGTACAGTTAGATTAACACGGATACTTCTTCAGCAGAGGAAAGTCAAATAATACAATTAAACATGCATAACATTTTTAAATGAATATGAAGGAGTTACTGGATACTTATTCAACATAGGTTTATAATTCTGAATAGCTACCGATTTTTTTCTTTACAACTAACTTTCTATTAAGAACAATTTCATCCTTACTGAAGCAGAAATTTTATTTGTGTATTCAAAATAAAGAGAGGGTGATTACATTTATTACCTTATTATTATTATATATAATTCTCTTCCCCTGTGTCAAATTAATCATAATTTTTTCATGCAACTTCATAACTACAGGATTTTCAGTTAGGGTACTGTTTAGAAATAAAGGAAGACAAGTTTTGTTCTAGTTTGTAATGAATTTAACTTCCAAACTGAGGTCAAAAGTTTGTTTTATAACATTCTTTTTTAATAGCATTGGTTAACTCCCTGAGATATACGGTAAACATCAAAAGATTATCATTTTCAGAATTTAATGAATTTTTTATGATTTTAATAACAATCCAATTTGTCTTTTCCCAATTTGAATAAATGTGATTTTCTTAGTTATTTTTGTGTACCACCTGATCAAAAGTTTTTTGAAAATCTTAATACACCAAATCTACACCCTTTCCATCATCTAGATAACAACCAACATACAAAAAAAAATGTTAATAGATTAGTAAGGCGCTATTTCTTATTGATGAATCCTTGTCGGCTTTCTTTTTGTGATACCTTGCTTCACTAAACAATTCTGTAAAGCTTTCTTTATCAGACTCTCTCGAACTTTTATCACTAGAAAAGTAAGACTAACTGACCTGTAATTTCTAGGGCAACACTTTATCAGCTTCTTTAAAACAGGAGTAATAGAAACAACTCTCTAATCTTATCTGCCCACTGTCTACTGACTTATCATAAACAAGATAAATGGAGACTTTCATACCAAATCTTTAACCATCTTTAACATAACATTTGAGGGACAACAAAAGGCGCCTTAGTCCATTGTGGCTACCCTATTTATTTTTCAAACTCCTATCTGCCTATATCCAGTCCTGACTCCCTAGTTCTCATCATGCCTTCTCTTGAACTCTCTCAGTCTGAAGGCAACCAATTCCAATGCTGAAGAATTCACGTTAGCACAACCCAAGGGAATAACAATTTCCATGGAAGTCCAAGTCCCCAAAAGAGATACAACCCTGCAAGCAATAAAAGAAGGAGAGGATTGAGAACTCAAGAGCTCTAATAATCTCAACTGGAGGAGAAAACACTGGGACAGACTGAAATAGGAGTAGAAGAATACTTCCAAAGGGATGAGGTATTGGGTCAGAACTTGACCAACCAACCCACATGAGCAGTCTTCTGAAGAAGTAAATGGGTGTGAGTGTGAGATGTTGGTACTGATGGAGCTAAAATCAGGAAGTTGTCCATATAATGGTGAAACCTTAGACTGTGATAAAGAAGACGAGCAAAGGCCTTGACCACCTGACAAAATATGTAGGGTGCAGAAGTCATCAGACCAAATGGTAGAGAGTGGAATTAATATACTCAATCTAATTGAACAAAACAAAGGCAATATCTGAAAGCTGGGGAAATAGGGATATGAATGTAAGCATCCAAGACATCTAAAGGTGGCATCATAAGACCCAGAGTAAACACCCACTGAAGAGTGAAGAAAGATTCCATGGTGAAAACAAGAAAGGTTGATGATACAGTTGAGACTGGAGAAATCAATGACAGGATGCTAGTCCACAGACTATCTGTGAATTATGAACAACTGGGAAATGAAACTCGGAGAAAGATGAGTGATAAGTACAACAGCATGTTTGTGAAGGAGATCCTGAACTGCTTTGGATATATGCTGGCAGGAAACTGAATCCTGAGGAAGAATGAAGGGGAATGGAATGTGGAGATAAATGAGCGGGGTTCAGAAAAAAGAAGGTAGATCCCTCCACATAACACTTGAAACACTAAAGGATGCATGGTGAAAGCACTCCACAGGTGAACAAACCCAGCCAAATATGCCCCCAACCACACCAGAACAAAAAAGCTAGTCACCCATGGAAAAGAGGTGTCTGCTAAAAAAAACCCTCATGGGAATGATGGATAACTTTGGAAAGTAGATGGATAGAGAAGAGATAACATAATATCAGGGCCAAATGCCCCCACCAGGATCAAAAATTCAAAGTTCAGTGAGTCTAGAAATGGAAGGCCTAACAATTATATGTCAATGGGTAAGAATCAGAGGAATGAGAGGGACGAATTATGCTGACTCCAGAAAGTAATTGTGCTTTGAACTGATCAGCATGGACCCTGATATTTGGAGAGGGTAGGAAAAACAGATAATCTGAGGAAGAGGTGACTTGCAGGAGAGAAGGTGAGGAATTATAAAATGGAGGGAGGTGTGGAAGTGGCAACAGGTGTAATCCTGGGATTCCACAGCAAAAAAGGAAGATGGGAACTGGCTATACAAATCGCTGTCTTGACCAAGTTCACCAGGAAATGGCATGTCTAGTGTCAGGAGACACAGTAAACCACATGACAAACTCCAACACATGGTGAACTAAGACTGAAACCTCTTCAGCAGAAAGAGTGGAGCCCATAGCCACAGAAACTGCAGGTTGTGTTCAGTGGCAGTAGTAACGACAGTAGTTGTTGTAACATGAAATTGTGAATTCACAAGTTAGAAATTAGAGTGGAAAATTTCAAATTAAACCAAAATTTAAAAAATCAAACACAAACAAAATTAGTGACATCTGCACACTAGTATACAAAATTGAAAAATGAAGATTGGGCTCTACAGTATAGAGGGAATCAATTGTACTCAGAGGATGTTTCACACTCCTACTGGTGGAGGGTTGTCACATGCTTATTTGCATGCTATAATGCAGATGTACCATGTGTAAACATGGGGTAGGTGGGAGTATCAAGGCTAGTGACAAGCAAAATTGTGCAAACAGACGGCAGCACTGAATGAGAAAAGCTATTATGTAAGAAGAGGTAAGGTATTCTATTGGAACTAAGTAATAAGGATGAATAGACTATATCTAAACAGTAAATACTATGTGTTACCTGGTAAAGCAGGGATGACAAGGCATAAAATAGTGGGGGCAAATTTAAACCCGAAGAAAATGCCATTTGCCGTATGAACTGGTTGAGGAGAAGAAAGGAAATCACAAGTAGAAGGTATATGTAAGGAAGGTGGGAAAAGTTGAGAGATACTCCATTCCTTCATTTCAATTAATACAAGAAAAACTATAAATTGCTCTCCTCAGAATACAAAACAAAGAACACAAGGAATAAGAAAATTGAAATTCTAACATGGGTTTATATTGTGACTGTTCAGGTACTGTTTAATTTCTGCTGCAAATTCAATTAAACAAGTAATTTACAAGACCTTTAACAAACTTGGAGTCATTTTATATTTTGTCATAATGATATACATACATAAACATTAAGTTGAATTTGTTGTGATTTTGCAGATTATTTGATTATACTCACAATAAAAGCTTATAAATATAGCATGAAAATGTAGTTAATAATCTATATTTTAATGGTATATAATTTTTAAGTTCTTGTTCATCAACTTTCTAAGGTAAAATCATAAAAATCAGCCTTGCAATCCTATGAAGAGGTCACAAAGACATTTGTGTACCTGGCCTGCCACCCTATTGAGCTGATTTATAGACTCCCATCACTTCCAGAAGTTTAAGAGACTAAGTGTTGTTGCTTATGACAAAATCAGTCTTCTCCAATCTGTTAATGAGGCAAGAATGGATGTCTTGTGCAACAAAGTTTGAGCTATGGAAAAACTACTAAACACTTAGGTGAGACATATATTTTAATTTTATACACTTTATGATCAATGATCATGTAGTGCTTCATTATGTCAGGGATGAGCAATACAATATTATATTTTAGGATGTCCTGCTTCAATATACTCAATGAATAGTCTACCATGCAAAAATTTGGATAACTAGCAAGAAGACACAGCAGCTGGCACTTTCTACACAAGAAATTGCCTGGAATAAGACAGATAAATCCTGAGTGCCAATTTGGATGACAATTCCTGAGATTTCTAGGGCCTATAGAGATATAATCAAATGCTTCTGAAAGGGGGAGCTGTTCCAACTGTACATGTGGATAGCCAATATGGACTGCACATCCCTATTATTTTATCCAACTGGTAACTGTAATGCCACTAATCCACCTAAATTATCAGAAATATGATACATTACAGCTGTAACACATCAGCAGTATCCTGAAAGTCTGTAGGAAATGAATAGACTTATTATACAAAAAAATAAGTGAATTTCTTTTTTTATCTTCAAATTGGTAATATAACTGTAAAAAAGCATTATATAGAAAGTGTTTTTGACATGACATATTAAAATGCATAGTAGTTTTCTTTATAACAGAATTATATATTAAACTATTATTTTACTGTAAAAATAAAGCTTGTGCCA